ATATTAGATTAGATATATTATATTAGATTTAGCTATTTAATTTAGATAGTACGCCTATCACCATATTTGAATCTCCCGTGGACAAGAAAGAATGATTTAATATAACTCCGAGAGAACATTCGAATCGCTAAAATTAGATATACCATCAATGATAGCATGAGTATATTACTCACATTCAGCCAGGATTTCAGCTTCAGTAACAACATCAGCATAACGTTGGCGAGCTTAGTTATTATATTCAGGCGTCACTGTGATTATACAGTTGCGGAAGGCAAGGTAAATATCCGCGCATTGTAAGGCAGCATAAATTACCCGGCAGAGCAGCCGTAGAATTCCACTGGGTTGCTGTATTTCCCGGTACGGCAGTGTTGTTCCACGTGGCATTGGCGCCGCCCGCCCCACTGTTCCATGCATTCGTCGCAGCGGGTGCATTGTTAGGCTGCCAGCCGTGCGCAGTTGCACCTAGAACGTTAAACAACAGCACGTGGCTTTACTTACAATCATTTTTCTTTATTCTCGGAAAAAAGCCTTGGTTTTATTAGTTCATTTGTGATCTCAGTATATCAGCATTCACATGTGGAGGATAAAAAGCTGTCAGATTGTGATCATCTATTCAAATAAAAGCAGTCACACAAAACTTTGCTTACGAGTTGAAATTTTCGTTCATTCTAGGCTAAATGTTAAGCAAGAGGAGAAAAGGGTGCAAACTCCGGTTTCATCATTGTCTGCCTAGCAATCCAGTCTGCACCACAGTCCCTCGCCTCTGCAAACCCATGCAACCTTTTGGACATATTTCCCTCTTACAGAGTCAACAAAATGCAAAAGGTGGAGCGCATTTCCAAAAACACCGTAATCAGCTAAAACAACATGACCTTTACACGTAAATGTTTATGCGAAGGTTTACGACATTTTGGACTCGCGGTTGTCACAAGTATTTATGTTTCCGACGACACGCGCCCGGGTTGTTAACAGGTGGCAGACCTGTAGCGGGAGCGGGCGGACTTGTTCCGCTCCAGCTGTCCCCGGATGCAGTACTGCTCCCACCAAACACGTCGTCTAGCTCAGCCAGTGCTGCGTACTTGTCGCCCATAGCTGGCTGAGCAGCCTGTTGTTGTTGTTGAGGCGCTGCACTGCTCCCGCCAGATGGCGGTGCAAACATATCAAATGACTGGCTGGTTTGTACAGGCACTGGTGCATTCTGCTGTGCTGAAACTTGACGAGAAACACGCGTTCAGATGTAATAAACCAAATGTAATTATTCTATTTAGGAAACATTATAATCTTGTTTACATGCTGTCCATCCTATTTTAACAATTTTGACAATGGCAAAAATATCAGCTGCAAGTTTTGCAACAGAAATGAATGAGCTTAAATATTCTACAGAAATTGGTGAATATACTGAAGACTTTATATATCAAATGGATATTTATGGATGAGTCAGTGAGAGGAATAAGGCAAAGACTGAGAAGTTTGTGCATACAATGAGGATTCATGAACTTTTGGCAAACGGAGAATTCTGTTAAACAAAACAGAGAAGAGTAGTGCTCAAGGAACGATACAAGATATGTCAAGAATGTAAAAAAGTCAATGTACAAGTTAACTGTATATATCCAGAGACTCACCTGTGCTGTTGAACGTGTTGAAATTTCCAAAATCTGCAAAGTTTGCCATAGACGATGACTGTGAAGCTGAAAATACGCAAGCGCAAATTCTACACTGCCTGTTACATCAGCCGATTTCACGTAAACAAATTCCAAATGGAGGGCTTCATGCATCCTGTATTGCAATAAAATTAACATCACAACATCTTAGGAAACTGGTCAAGAAATGGCTTGAGATTTCTTCAAGCTAAACATTGACTTCTCTATCGGATGATGTATCTGATATAGGAGTAACAAGTGCCGCAGAGTGACAGCGCTCAACTGACGTGTACTGTAGCTGGGTATTCTTCTGATAAACTCACTGGCGACCGAATCAAGTGCGCCCTCCCGCCACCGCGTTGATAGGCTTTGCTATATCGGTAGTACAGTAATAAAGATATAGCTGTGTAACTTTAATGGCTTC